AAGAGAAGAGAAGAGAAGAGAAGAGAAGAGAAGAGAAGAGAAGAGAATTCTTTATTGGTCAAGTATGATTGGATACACAAGGAATTTATCTTGGTGCAAATGCTCTCAGTATACATAAAAGAAAAGATTCATTCATCAAGAGTCAAGAATCGTAAGGTACAACACTTAATAATAATCATAGGGTACAATAAACAATCAAATCATACTAGGAAACAGTCAATATAGATCATAAGGATACAAGCGACAAAGTTACAGTCCTACAATCACAAGTGGGAGGGGGTGGGTGATAAGGAACGATGAGAAGGTTAATAGTAATAGTAGTGCAGACTTTGTAAATAGTTGGACAATATTGAGGGAATTATTTGTTTAGCTGAGTGATGGCATGGGGGGGGGAACTGTCCATGTGTCCAGTTGTTCTGGTGTGCAGTGTTCTATAGCATTGTTTTGAGGGAAGGAATTGAAACAGTTTATGTCCAGGATGTAGGGGCTATAAATATTTTCACATCCCTCTTTTTGACTCCTGCAGTATACAGGTCCTCTATGGAAGGGAGGTTAGTAGTAATCGTTTTTTTCTGCAGTCCCAATTATCCTCTGAAGTCTGTGTCTGTCCTGTTGGGTTGCAGAACCAAACCAGACAGTTATAGAGATGCAGGTGTAGGTTAACTCTGCCAAATGCCAGGAATTCGATCCTGACCAGCTCAAGGTTGACTCAGCCTTCCATCCTTCTGAGGTCGGTAAAATGAGGACCCGGATTGTTGGGGGCAATATGCTGACTCTGCAAACCACTTAGAGAGGGCTGCAAAAGCACTAGGAAGCAGTATACAAGTCTAAGTGCTATTGCTACCCAAGGAGTTGACGTTATTTGTACTTCCATTAGTTAAATAGCATTCATTATATTATTTCCATATAATAAATGTTTGGGAGTCAACAAACTGAAGACTTTTGAGTAACCCTGCCTTACAGCAAGGCTAAAAAAATGTCCCAGTTTTATAAAGCAGCTCTAAGTTGCTTGAAAATTCATCCCATTCTGTACAGTAGGGGATAATTCTATGCATATTTACACAGAAGCGAAAGAAGTAACTCAGTATTTCACTCCCTGGCACACAACCTCCGTTACAAATCGTCAAGCGTTAAGTAACTATTTTTTTTAATAAGTGTCGCCGTGTTGCAAAAATATAGAGATAAACTCCGTGACCCTCCCACTCCGTGTATGAGACAGATACGAAAAAAGCCTAAACCCGCGCTTTAAAAAAAAAAAAAACACCTCCAGGTCCACCAGACACACACACACACACACAAACAGAGAGAGAGAGAGAGAGAGAGAGAGAGAGTTTTGCGCGGTTAAACAAACGGGCATTTGCAATTTAATGTCCTTCCGTGAAGCACCGACCCAAGTCGCCTGAATTAACAAGAGGGGGGAGCTAACGAATCTGGGGCTACCCGGGACTGTCTCTGGCGTGAGGGGAGACCCTCAGGGAAACACGAGAACTGTAGCGGCACCCTCAGTTCGCAGGTTCGGATCCGGGAAAAGCGGCCCGGAGCCCCCTCCGCTATTTCTAACGGAACGTCTTCCACGCCCACGTCAAACGCCCGCCTCGCCTCGCCTTCTAAACTCCGCCCCGCTTTTTCCCCCCTGTAACGTTTCCCTGCTCCGCCTACTCTGTGATTGGCCCGGCTCGCTCCTTCCCCGCCAAAAGGGAGCCGCCTCTTCTTTTCCTCTTTAGCTCTCTGGGCTCGGCGAGCCTCTCTCAGTTCCGCACTCCGTGTCCGGGCGAAGCGACCGTTCTGCTTAGCGCGGAAGGGGTCAGGCAGCACCTCGGCCGGGAGTAGAGGTTGCCCTTTCCTACGGTCGAACCGGGGCGCCTCTAGGGAACCGCAGACGCTCCGGGACCCGCCTTCCCCTCCGCTCGTCGGATACCTGACAGTCAACGTTGGAGGCATGGCCAGTCCTAGAGAGAGTAGCGGCAGCACCCGCCCCAGGAGCTGACAAGAGTCTGCCCTCCATCCCCGGTCCGTCGCCGGCCGTTTAACCACGGGTCGCCACCGCCTTCCTGCATTCAGTCCGGGGCTCCAACCGAGCGGGCGTCGTCTTTTTGCGAAGAAGAGGCGGCGGCCGTGGCGGCGGCAAGCACTCGAGAAAACTTCCTGTCGCTGGGGAAGGCGGCGAAGTTGCCCCCGGCAGCGGCGACCCGAGACGACGGGCGCGGGCTAGTCCCGCTGCTCGCCCGCTCTGAGTGGGGCTGGGGAGGCGGCAGCGGCGGCTGCCGCAGGGGAGCCTTGCAAACGGGCCGCCCCGCGGTTGTCCCGCGGCCGTCGCCATCCTCTAGCAGCCTGACGTTATCAGGGGGGCTGCCATGCCAGCCGTCAGCTTGCTGCCGCTTTTCGGCAGCCCCGCGAACCCGGGCCCTTTGGGGGGCTCCTTAGGCGGGGGGCCTTTGGGGGGCCCCGGGAGCCGGAAAGGGCCCGGCCCCAGCGGTGCGTTCCGACTGACAGAAAAGTTCGTGCTGTTGCTGGTCTTCAGCGCTTTCATCACGCTTTGCTTCGGGGCCATCTTCTTCCTGCCGGACTCCCCCAAATTGCTTAGCGGCGTCTTCTTCCACTCGACCACCCTCCAACAGCCGCCGCCGCCGCTGCCCGCCCAGGGCGATCCACACGCCCCGCCACCGGCGGGGGCCGGGAGTAGCAGCAGTTTCGGGGCCGGCTCGGCGGCGGCGGAGGAAGCGGCGGAGAACTTAGCGAAGATCCGCGAGGATCACGAGCGCGCTTTGCGAGAGGCGAAAGAGACTCTGCAAAAGCTGCCCGACGAGATCCGCAGGGACATCCACCAGGACAAGGTGAAGCTTCTCCTGCAGGACAAGTTGGGCCGGGGAGAGCCGGGGGCTCCCGGATTGCCTGACCTGCCTTTCCGCAAACCTATCGGGGCCGTCGGAACGGAACCCAACGATCCCGCCATCCAGCAGAAAAGAGAAAAGATCAAAGAGGTGAGTAATTACTGCAGGCATTCAGATATACAGCCCTTATGGCTAACACACACACAAACACACACACAAACACACACACCCACACACACTTCATTTTTCCCCTTCTCCGAGTGTAAATTGGTTTGTTTATTTGCGCTCTTTATACCTTTACTTGGTAATTCGCGACCTTCGACCTGCTTCCGCTTGTTTGCAAGTGATTTAAAAGCTATTGTGCTTGGGTGCGGTCCTGTGATGGGCAGTCTTTTGACGTGAGCAGGAACTTCTAATGGGGGAATAGATAGGACACGTGTCACTCTTGTAAAATTGACAACGTGGGCAGTCTTCCGAGAAAGCAAATTGTACCAATCCATATTTCTGAAGCCCTTAGTCCGTAGCTAAAACATGGCGAACAAATTATAGTGATTTAGTTTTAATCTCTATAGTTGGGAAACCACAACTACAAAAGGTGTGATGAGGAGAATGGTATCAAAGGCAGAAGAAGGGGAAGAAAGAAAATGTCTTATGCTTTTGCTTTAATTTTGCTATCAGAAACAACTACTGCCAGAAAGTTTGAAGGGGGGGGGGGGTAAACAATACAGTATTGGTATACTTCTGTGATCAATTGTCACCCTAGATTTCAATCCACAATTGTACAATTTAATGGATAATGGGGGGGATTACTGAAAAACATAGCAGCTTTATAAACTGATTACATTAGCATACCAGTCTCTGAACTGGAATTGTTTAATATTTCAAGACAAAATTGAAGAACTTAAACCTTAACTACATATTTTAAATTAATAGACTCATCCCTAAGATGTTAACTGGTAAGAATATAAAAATTGTTAAAAATACAGTACTATTTTACAATTGGTATTGTTTATTTTCTAATGCTGTAAAGTTTAGAGTACTTTCCTCATCATACCTTGAAATTGTTTGCCACCTCTAGTGAATTAGAGGTTTCCCTACTGTGCTGGGGAAACAGTGATAGAATTGTCTTTTAAACCGTTATTAAGAATTATTCTATCCAAGTATATCTCACGTTTGTTCATTGAGGGAGTACTAAAGCTCTTTAAACTATAACGAGTTTAAGAGAAGCCTTTATATGGAATAAAACACCTGCAAGTAAAGCAAGTTATGTAGCAATAAATATGAACAGGTAGGTGTTTATAGGTAAGAGTGATAAATACTGTAGAAATTATTTAGTGTGTCATATAACCCACAAAAAGACTATCCTATGGAATATAAGTAACTGGCTGCAATTGCAATAAGATCTGTTTAGTGCAAAAATATCTATTTAGCATGATATATTAAGCAATATATTCCATAAAACATTTGTGCAATTAAGTACCACTTTATTCATGCTAGGAGTCAAAGGTGCTGAAATAGAAGAATTGGATGAACTCCTAGGAAGGTATATCTAGTATCTAGAACAAAGTGCTATGCAGAGTCTGGCTTGTGCTATCTATAAAACTATGTCACATGTGACGATTCAGGGTATATTATAGGGCATTTGATCTCTGATTTATAAGTTATTTGCTGTCTGAACTTTGAAACAGTAAATAGAACTGATAAAAATGTTCTAAAGGTTGTATATAACAGTGGTGGATTACATGCATCAATTTTAAAGTTTTTTATTTGGGAAATTCAATATAGTTAATCTCTAGGGTTGGTCTAAGTTTATGAGTTTGAACTGTTCATTAAATCAGCAAAGCTTCAAATTAAAACTGCTACTGCTATCAATGACTATTTGATTGGCATATCTGGCTTATAATTCTTTGAATCTGATATTATGGAATTGTAATACTATACCTGTGGTGCATATTTATATGATAAGAGCTTTTTCACATATTTCTGTTAGTATTAGTGAAAGATATTAAAGCTGTCTTCAAAGCTTTGTTAGAGTCATTATCAAAGAAGTTGAAATTGTATACATTGTATTCATGAATTTCTGCCTAGAATTTTTTATCTCTTAGAACAGATCTTTTGAGTAATAGACTCAGGAATATGCTGCGTGCCAATACTACATTGTTCATTCTAAAATGCTACTATCATACTCTGTAGACATGTGGCCACTGTGAAGTTTACAAAAAGTAAAAAAAAAACATTTTAAAAAAGATGCAGCTCTTCTACAGATGTGCATCTATCTGCAAAATTACAGTTGCGGGACATTCCCCAAGCATAAAACAGTTCATTTGCCTTAGTTGTTATCTGTTAAAAAAACCACAACTTATAAACAGAAGTATGCATAATTTGAGTCCTCATTGAAATTCATGAGGTCTCTTAATGAAGCTGGAAGAAAATATTATATGACTTGTGGGGCAGTAAATTTTTATTGTTGCTCTAGGGACGGGAAAAAAGAACCTGAAGAAAATCTATACAAACTGTTGGAAGAATAAAAACATTTGTAAATCAAATGAGAAATAAAATCATTCATAAATCAAATGAGGTGGGTCTTGAGATCCTTCTACTGTCCATTGCAATAGATGAACACCAATCTTGATCCATGCAATGTCATCTACCGCAGAACATTTTGCTTGATTAACATGTTCAAAATTTTGTCATGAAGGCTTTCATTTTCTTGTCATCAGCATACTTTCCACTAGAAAAATGTAAGCTGTATTTAGATAGTTGGGCTCTCTTTAAGTGTCATTGCATGCAAAATCCTGAATAAGTTAACATAAAGATAACCTCAACTTCAACATTTTTGATGTCTCTGTCCCTGAAGTTTCCTTTACTTTCTTGTCAGTTTTAGGGAAGTAATTTGCACTGCTTTCTTTGGCATGGGGGTGGGGTGGGGGGTTATACTCCAGAGTTGACAGTTGTAGAAGTCCCAGGTATTCCCCCTAGACAATAAAAGTCTATAAAATTTCCAAACCAGAGAAAAAATACTTTTAAATATCTTTCATCAATCTGAAGTCATTTTGTTACAGTATGATTGCTACCTGAATAAGAGTGAAAAATTGTTGTAATGAACTAATTGGAAAGAGGGTTTGTCCATTATTCTCCACAGGGCTGGTAAATTGAAAAACTTGTCATTGCAGCAATCCAGATAACTTCATTTGTGTTTCCTATATCTGCATGATAATGTTGTTTGCTTCATGACACCACATTATGTCAAGAATGTTGTTTTCATAATGCTATTGCATAAAATGATGTAAACTGCTGCAGAATTTAATCCACTGCATTGACATCTAGAAAATTGACATTGCAGTGATTTGGTCCTGCCAGATTATCCTGTATGTAGTTGATCTATAGATTTAGTAGCATAATTGGATAAGTGATTTTGCAACAGCTAGACTATAAATAAAGCATTCAGGTTATAAAAGGGCTTCCCTATTTTTCATTGTATCTGATCAAGTTTTTCTTCCTATGTAAACTACTACTTTATTAAAGAGTTGGCTGAAGTTCTGAGATCAGTGTAGTATTCTGCAGACAAAAATATCATATATTGAAATCTAAAATTAAGTATTTAGCTTTAGGACATTAACCAACTAAAGGGATGATATTCCATCAATATAGGCTCCTTTAGCTTTTTAGCTTGCTATCATGGTGGGGTTTTTTATGATTCAGTGGTAAAAGTAATTTTTCCATATCTTGAGTACGTTAGTATAGCTTCCTGCTGGTTTTTTATTTGTTTGTTTAATTTTTGGTAATGTTTCTTTGAAATATATAATACAAGCATCTTATAATCTTGAGCCCAATCATAATAAAACTATATGATACAGTGTTATTCTGTTCATGTAAACTTTGAAAATCTCACTTGTTCAACAAAGTTTTTTAGAAAGGATGCATTGAATATACAGTAATTTGAAGAATACTTTAGAATACACTTCTTGAAATATAAATTAGTAGTGCTAGCAGAGATAAAAAGATTCTTGGGCATTAATTCAAGAATGTAATAGTGTAGTCGTTAACTTATTAAAGCTGGTAGTTCTTTTTTTAACATAAAAATAAAATAAAACTCCTTAAATTTGCTTTCTAAAGATTATAGTTTGGGCTACAGTTTTATAAGTTTGCTCAGACTATTAAATTAATAGAGCTGTGCAGAACAGGGATGGACATTTAAGTCAAGGCAAGACTGCAAGTGAAACTTTCAAAACTTTTTGACCAATCTCTGCTTGACAATTCAGAGCAGCCTTATGATAGCCTTCTAGCCCTGGTTATCTGTTTATGCATCAATTTACGAAATAAATAAATCTATATGGGCAAGCACAATGAATGTTGCTGCTGAAACTTCCAGTTTGTCCCTGAAGTGAAGCAGCTTGCCTCATTGCAGTCCCAGTCAATTCTCCCAATGATTTGTACAGCCGTAGCATAAATGCCATAGCATTTAGAAACTTTAAAAAGAAGCTAATTTTATCTTGACAAAATAATAGCAAAAAAGAATTTAAACTCCAGTAACACAGTAATTTAAATTTCAAAATAGGATGTATTATCATCAGAGCATAATGGATTTTACATGTTTTAACCTGATTTGATATTGCCATGTGATAATTTAATTACATTTCCATTTGGCTAAGCCATTCCCCCCAAAAAACCCATTAAAATAATGTAGGCACTTGACCCTTCTTTTTAATTATGTCAATCTCTAGAGACACAGTTGTCAGGAAAAGAGCAGTAGCATGACATGAGATTCTTCATCACTCCAGTGGTTCTTTGTTCTCCCAAGAAAGAGAGAGAGAGAGAGAGAGAATCATACGCATATCTGGGGAAAACTAAAGACCATTAGAGTGATCGATGTTTATTTTTTGCATATCCACAAGTAGGAGTGACTTCTCACTTCTCTCCAGTTGATTATTCCTCACCTTTGCTAGAAACATATCGTATAATGGTCTAGAACTAGAATACAGGGTTGCTGTTGTGCTTGTCTTTGAGTTATTGTTGACTCCTGTCAACTGCCTGGCCCAATGCCTGCAGTTTTCTTGGCAAGATTTTTTAAAATGGTGTGCTATTGCCTTCTTTCTAGGGCGGAGAGAATAGTAACAGATAACAGATAATCAGAGTTGGAAGGGACCTTG